AGTACTGGAGGTCTCTCCTGCAGATGTTGATGGTAGAGCCTCCAGTCAATCTTGGTTTTAAAAGCTCAGGGCAGCGTAGTCACTGCCTTGAGGTCAAGGGTGATTAAGATCGGGAGGTGCTGCGAAATCAGGTCGTACAGCACCTCTACCACTATCGGGTAGTTGACGTTCGTAGAGAGCACGATATACAATCTTCGGTGGTCTGTAGAGTCGTGCGTTGGTTCTTCGGGACCTAAAACGCCGTAATTGTTGTTTTCCGCATCTTCATATAGTTCACAACCTGGCGGGTTGATCACTCTGGACCCCCACGCCGGGTGTTTCGCGTTTAGGTCCACCGTGACGATGGTAGGTACTACGCCTTCCATTACTGTCCGGATGTCTGAGTAGCGAAATGGTGTACCTGGCGGGCGGTATGCTGCGTACATTCTTAGTTCCTCGCCCGTCGCCTCCATTTTTATGCCGATGCTCATCGATTGATAATCTGGCAGGTATAGTTCTTGATGGACGATATCCCTTCTCACTAGAATCGCCGTGCCTCTAGAGGCGGTCCCTTGAGGATTGACTTCGTCCCGCCTGTAGATGTGAAAGTTGGGCAGCCTCAGATGCGTAGATGGTCTCAACTTGGTGTCTCTCAGCAATATCAACTGGATGTCCTGTTGTTTAACGACCGTGTGGAGTTCATGGATCTTCTGCTGGATCCCGTCCGGATTCCAGTAGAGTCGGCGCAGGTTACTCGCCTCCGTGATGCCAGTAGCTGCCCCAATGCTCTCATTATGGCTGTAATGAGATCGGCCCCGGCTCTTATGTCGGCCAGGACCTGTGTGCCGACCTCTATGACTAGCCAACCAATCTGTGTATGTCATCGGCGCTTTCAAGAACGGCTGATGGTGTTCTTGATGTTATGAATGGCTCTGGTCTCGGCTGGGCTTGGGTCTCTCTTCATACGATAGAGCGCGCTCTGGTTGTAGAGCGGGCTCTATGTTCTGGTAGAGCCCTTTCTGGCGCTCTACCCATGGTGGTCCTTATTTTCTTGGCGGTATTCTGCGCCTGTGAGGCTATTGTAACCGCTAGGGTTGGGGAGGGGGGAGCAGCCTGAGGAGGAAGGCTGTACCTTGCTTTTCTTCCGCCTCACGCGCTTCCTTTGAGAGTTGGCGCTCTGTAGCATCATTAGCTGGGGGGGGGGGATTCGCCCCCCCCTTCCTCCTGATCGTTGCCCACCCGTCTTCCTGTATTTCGACGAAGTAAGCCCTGAAGTGTAATCGTCGTTGGCTGTATGGTTTTTTGCACACTTCGGCTCTTCGTTTCTACCTCTAGGGCATTCGCTGGCGATGTGATCCCCGGCACAGCAGATGCATTTAATTGGCCTAAAACGATTAAAGGAGGCATGTCCAAAAGCCAGGCAGCGGTGGCATTGGGCCGGACCCGCTCTCCCTTGCAGGCTTCTATGACGACCCCTCGTAGAGTTTATTTAGCTGTTCCAGGTTTAGGTGGTCCAGCTGTGCAAAGTAAAGGCATCCCGATCTACCTCTGCGGGGGGGGGGGGGGGTGATTGCCTTTACATATTTTATAGGGAATCCTTTAGCCCTAATAGCCTCCTTTACTGCGGAGATATCCGTGTCAACTGGCAGCCCCCTAATGCCCACTTTTGTGGGCTTCTCGTCATCGGGGGTGTAGAAGTACCAGGACATGGCCGGTATTTTCTCGCTGGTCTCGCTAAATTACCCAGAATACTTCCGGGCTTTAGAGGGTAAAGCGTACCCCCTTCCCGAAAGGACGAGCATTTGGGGGGTGTTCCAACTTCCTGTTGAGCACCTCGAAGTGCTTCGTCCAGTCCAGAAGGCTTTCCGCGACAATGGGCGGATATCTTGCCTTCTCGGCATCTTCTGGTTTTTAGGCTCTTCAGCCACCTTGGGACTAGGTACTGCAGGGACTGCTGCCAGTTGGGCGTAGCTAGTCGATGGCCTTTGACCGTCGTCCGATGGTAGGCCAGAAGGGTTGGCCAAGGACGAGGACGATGACCGTCAGGCAGAGGGCGCTAGTGTGGCGTACGTCGTACTATCCCATCCGTACAATTCCTCCCCTCATTGCACATACTCGGCCACGTTGCTACGCCGGTCCGGTGAGATGGAGGGAGTTGGCTTCTTTGATGATGGGGATTTTGATGGCGACATGTATTCTGTATCTAGCTGTTGGTTGGCTTTCCTCTTCGTCTGAGAACGATGAGGAATATTTCTTATTTTTATTTTACATTATTTGGACTCTGTTTAGATCTCGCACAACATGAACAACCAATTTCTACACGACCTTTACCACATCGGTAGGAGCCTAGTGCTTTCCTTGTCTTAAATACAGCTATCGCTATTCATTATGAAACATTATTTGTTTACATATGCTATCCTTATTAACCATGTGGAATCTTATCTGTTATCTCAAGAGCCATAACATATTTTTATCTAAAATAAGCACCTAATTTAATATCATACTTTTATTCGTATTGCATAGCTGATTACTGTGTAACACATGACTTTAAATCAATCTAATAACAAACTTTTATGAAATTATCACAATCAACGCCATCTATTGAACGGGCTGCGGAGTGTTCCCCTTTTAATCTGATGCATTATAAGCTTATAGCAGAGCAGACGTGGCTTGAATGGCGGTGTCGGCTGTAAAAGTTGGCGAAAAAAACGTGTGCCGTTGAACTCGCTACGGCGAATGCACCGAGCCGTTAGCTTTATCCGAGGTCAGGGAGGCATCGATGAATTGTGGTGCCGTAAGCTCGAATAAAAATGTACATAAAGTCTCAGCTGTTCGCCTCATGTTAAAGTAGCAGCTTTGTGTTCCTTTTGTTTTAACGCTCATTTTGTTTTTAATTTTTCTTTCCCTCTGCTTTTATATTTTAAATCATATTTAATCACTCCTAGACCCCTACGGTCGTATTTTAATCTCAAGTTGCTATGTTAAGTTAAAGCAAAGATAAAAGTCCCAGCTCTTCCTACTTAATCTTTAAATGTACCAAACAATAAGGTCATTTGTTTCCGATATCAAAATATTTTCGCAATCCAACGAAGTTCTAGGTGCACTTTATAATACAATATAGCTTTTTTTCTATTACAGTATGCGTACGCCGTCGGTCTTGGGTTAGAACCTCAGCCCGAGCCAACATCTGTACATAATAATATTATGTAAGCGCAGATTGTATGTTTTCGTGTCTGATTGAGTTGCTATTAGACACTATATACTTCGGGCACGGATAGAGTAGGGTAGGAGAGTTTGCACTTATGGCACTATGATATCCCTTCCCCAGTTGTGAGCTTACCATTAATCACTAGCAGTCGCTGTGGTCGAAAATCGTTTATTGGCTATCATCATGATAAGTTTTACTACAAATTCAACCCTTGTGCAAATAAATTTACGAACGTAAAAATTTTTGATTTTCACCTAAATCAAAGCATTCTCCCCAGTGTTTGACCCTAAACAAATTGCTGCAAGTGATATACGTGCATAGATTGTTTTTTAACGCAAATAAAATCAAGGAGCAAATTCATTTTAGTAATGAAATTGTGGGGATAAGTTAAGCTTACAGCGCCGTCGAATGGTGAACATGATATCCACGCATGCGCCATTTGATCGATTTCTAAATACAGGAAGCTTTTCCAATATTTGTGAGCAAAGTTGTTCAATGTTTGACTCTATTGGTATGATTTAATGCTACAATATCAAACGTCTTTTATATTATTGCAATATGTTTCTGTCTGAGACACTATCATAATGGCTTTTAAGTTATTGGAGTTCAAAATTACATATTATTTTAATATTTATAATATATTATGATATATTTTGATTTAAATCATATCACCAGTTGCATTTTACCAATAATATGATGTCAACCATTAACCACAACACTACGGTTGTAGTTTCCTGATTAATGTTTCATGGTGAACGCAATCGAAGGCTTTGGATAGGTCACAGAATATACCCCAAGCATCCTGTGAATTCTGCCATGCAATGAAAATATATTTAATCAGCTCAACACCAGCGTAAGTTGTCGAGCGATCTCTTGTGAAACCGAATTGATTTTAATGAAGTAAATTATTTACATTATAAAAGAATTACATTTGCTCAAGAATATTAAAATTTTTAATTTTAAATTATAAATATTTTGAATACTTTTTTACATAGCGTCGTATTTAGGGAAAAATTCTACGCTAGGGTTATATAACCTTTCTTTAAAGTTCATATAACCTTTGTCTGCTCTTATGGACTCTTACTGTCGCCCATTCATTGAATGCCTTCCGACTGAACACCGATATTCGGTCTATAGTCTTTGAGTGTCTATTACCATAATGTATCCTTACCTATTTACATATAACGATTAACCCCGTCTTATCAGAGGTGAAAAACCCATTCCAATGCGGACTTTGTATTTCCTTAATATTGTTATCGTTTTTCAGTCGTGCAAAATCCGACTTATGGTTGAACAGCATTTAAAAAACGCATGATGTGCAATTTATATGATGCACTGCGGTTTGAACTTCTAATACCTTCGTACTACATAACTTTAAGGCTAGCATTTAATTTCCTAAACAATAAGGCTTCTTTCTACAAGAAGTAAAATGCATTATTATATAGAATAAGGGCGACAAATGAGCACTCAGTACACCTGATGGTATTTGGATCTGTGGCACATATTATACTTTTTCATCGATTAAGAATCAATCTAGCACCCCGGAGGACTAAGATGGAATGACTCGTTTAAAGAAAAAGTTTTTCGGTGAAATGGTGAGTGTAGAGACCATACGAAACAGCAACAATAAACTGCTATATTAATAGTATTATGTAAGTGTGGTCTCCCTGGTCGAGTCGACACGTTTGTGCTACAACCATAATCTCATACCTGATGCATAGCTTTACCACGTATAGCTTGAACTTTTCTGATTTAAATTTTTAATTTTATCCATGTGTATTATCAATATTTAAACAAGATTTTTGTCCGACAGGTGTACGAAACACTCCAAGATCAAATTGCTCCGAGCTGTTGTAACTTAGGTAAGTTTTATAACTCACTTATTTAAATTTTGTTTACGTAGTAATAGCATTTTATATTATGCGATAGCTCAATGCGAATTAATTATTTTAATTATGTTATATTGACATTGCGATGTTTTTTTTGTGTCTGCTGCGCGTTATTTTTAAGTTATATTTATTTTAGTGTATGATATATTTGGTGTGAATTGAATTCGGATCAAAGAACATTTTCTCCGTTGTTACAGGTATGCCAATGTAATATTGCTACGCGGAGTTAGTTACATTGTTGTTTGAAGAAACAGAAACTTGAAAACTGCGAACAATTAGTTAACAGGTAAACATACCTTTTATTTATTTATTTATTTTTAATTAATTTAGTTTGTAAAATATTTACATTGTTAATAAAATAAAATTGCCTTGCTGTATTGTCGTCTAAGCGAATTTTTTTCTTGCTCATGCGACGTGACTTTTCGAATTTGTATGATTTTTTAATTTTTTCATTATTACAATTTAATTATTTTTGTAAACTAGGAGAATGGTGTTACTTTTATTTTATTATTACATTATATAAATTACCTCACTAATCATGAACAATATAGATTAAGGCCAATTTTTGAGTGGTGGGTAATAATGAAAGAAATATTTAATAATTTACGTGAGAAAAATTTGTAAATGATCAATGTTTGTCGCGAAATTATACTCTCCATATTATGAATAATCCATCATGGCGCGTTAATTTTATATGATTATAAATGATTTGAATGAATTTTGTCATCAATTTCCGCAGCCTGCGCAATGGAGAATTCAACGTTTGGGCGGGGCGCTCTTCTTTCCCACAAGTTCACAGGTAGGTCCGTTTCGAACATTTGGTTAAAATTGCTCTTATAAATTGCATCCTCATTTGCATGTTTCATAACAAACTTAATTATATTTTGATGCCTATAATATTTATATTCATTTATATAATATGACACCATAATATATATTATATCAGCCAGCGAATAAGCTCAAGCGATTGTGTCAGTTATAAAATTGACAATTTGTAATATAATTTATACCAATGAAATTTTAAAATAATTATTCAACCAAACGTTGTTTTACAGTGCCGTAAGTCACAACATTAGAAACGTACTAAAATCATTATCGTTTAATATACGCGCTTTTCTTTACTTTTAGATAAGAAAGCGAGAAGTTTGCTATTTGAGTAAAGAATTTAGAATATATTTTTTATTTAAGAAGTTAAAATGTAAAATAAAGTCCCTTTTTGCCTTTTTAAAATTTATTCCTAAACCTTTATAACACTTTGTTCCATTACAAGCGAAACTGAAATTGATATTTTTTCAACTGACTTAAAAATATGTTATCAACAATTTGGCTCAACGACTAGGTGGCTTACGACAGTGTTTTGTGGAATTCCTTAAGACAGACTTTGTTCAGCATTGGACTTGTGAAAGAAGGGCTGAAATGATAATGGTGTTTTAAAAGAAATTGTCATCTAAAACAACGACTGTTAAAATTTAATCAAATTATAGATCTATTTCAATTATTCGGCGATGAAAAATATGTGAGGAAGAGCGACCGGTGTACTTAGGGCGTGTCGGAACGCCGCGCCAATTGAAATGGCGGCAAAAACGGATATCGACGCTATCTATCTACGACTCGGTTTTAACGAAGCTTTCAATATTTTGGTGACTCAATCATAAATTTTTTAATGTTTAAATGGTTTTTTTTTTAATTTTACAACCTATATACAACCTTAAATTTTTACACTTTGTTGTTTTTTTATTCCACTCGCCTAACATTGTGGTACTCATCCTTACATCTTTTTTATCTTGTTGGTAGCTGACAACGTATTGTAAAACATATGCATTCTTCATGACCGTTTACACGCCTCCATTAGGAAATAACTTTCTGTATTAACTGTGTAACACACTTACATTTTTTTTGTTATAGGAATGTAAATAACATTACAAAAAAGTATTATGTCGCAAGATTTTGATGAAACAGGATTTTGAACAAAGTTCTAGGATTTAATCAAATACCGGAATATGGCAAAATTGTTACTGGATTTCATCATAAACCTCTGGGCAGATCCTTCAGATTTAATCAAAATCCTGTGATATTTCAGATAACGTTACAAAACCTTTGTAATGGTATGAAAGATATTTTGTGTAATTAAAAGCTTATTTTTACACAAAAAAAAATCTATAGTTAATTATTAATAAAGTGTATTCTGTAATATTAAATTCATCAATCCCATTTTATTCCAATATGAAAAAATTAATGCCATGACTAACATTAGTCATTACGTTGTATTTTTTAAGTTTAACTTATGAAATAGTATCTTTATTTGGAAAAGAAAACAAAATAAACTTATCATTACGATCGAAAATTACAGAAATACCCTTAATTGTAAATATATTTTACATAAAGAAGACTTAAAATAATTTTGTATTTCTCCTTTTGCGTAATTGTTGATATGCCTTTAAAAATATTGTATTAGATGAAATCAAGTTTTTGTAAAATCTACACAAATACAAATAGTGCAGTTAAAACTGTCACTAACGCGTTTATTGTTACATTGAAAAGCAACTAGTGAATTATTTTTACCAATAAAATAATGTGATTGCCAGAGTGCGTTTCAGACAGGCACTTTATTAAGTTTGGCGAGCGTCTTACAATTATGTACGACACGATATAACCGTAAAATGTATTCTATTACACTTCTGTATAAAGACAAATCTATCGGAATAAACTTTGAACTCCGCCAAGCCTACAGGCTACATGATGTTATAAATCATAAATCTTTATTTGCAAGAATCACGGTATAAGATGTTACAATTTATCTAGTGCAGTCGTGTTATGTTAATTAATTACTATATTCATTAATTTTAATTAAATTACAAAATCTTTCTTTTTTAATATTTATTATTTAATATTTCGTTTAGTAATTTAAATTCTTTAGATAGTTTATTATATATTTTTACACACATATTTATGCAATTTTTGTTGTATTTAACAAACCTAGGAATGACATCTAGAACTAGTTTGTTTGGGTCACGTCTGTTTCGGGGATATATTATATCACTTGCTTTAATAAACACTAAATTTTTAATAACTAACATGCCAACTTTATAAATGTTTAGTGACGGTAGGGTTAATATACGAAGTCTTTTATTATATATACTGCAGTGCATGTTCACGATTACATTTTTTTGGCAACTAATGCTCTATTCCGGTCAGTACCACTACCCTATATTATAATTCCATACCCTAGAATAGACTCTTAGTCCAGTCACTTTAGCATAAACAAAAACTGGCCAAGTTCGTGTCAGGTCGATGTTGAGGTAGGGTTCCGTAGTTGCCCGTTACAATACGTAGGCTTTCTTGATAATGAGCATAATAAGTGAATTCGCGGTTTGACCGCTATAACGACTAGACTGCCCATTGGCCCAAATAGGAAGATCGTAACTGAAGGACTTATTTTCAAATCAGCCTTATAGAAAGTGGTATTCAAAAACGATTAAAAAAACTTTTTGATTTTGAAAATAATACCCTATTTATCCCGCAAATGAAAAAGTAAAGCTAATAGTAGTAATTCATATTAAGTCGTTTTCTTCATAAAGTGTTTATTTTTAAGTTTAACAATAACATTACAAAGTTATAATGCAGCTAGTCTTAGGTCATTATCTATAGAGTTACAACGAAATTTTTGCTAATCCAAGTGCATTTTATAAGTTAGTCGACTGTTACTCGTTAACTTCTTAATTCTAATTAGCTGTTATAGTTTTCCTTTTCACTTCAATATATATGAGCAAAACCGCGGACTGACGGACGGACGGCCATGGCGAAACTATAAGGGTTCCTTGTTGTATAACTACGGAACCCTAAAATGCGGTCAACCTCGGAATGAGCCCTTTTTAGGGTTCCGTAGTTACACAACAGGGTACCTTCATTTTGGCGTTCTAAAAGTTGTCTCAAAAGTCTTATAAAATCTCATGTCTGCGACGTAAGTTATTCAAGATCAAAGGTCAAAAAGTTTTTCTCTATCATTTCGGTTTCTATTACTCCTATGATGTTAACACCTGTTATAAAAAATTATAGAGCATAAAATTTGCGACAAATTGTGATATGATATGTCGCAAATTTTATGCTATGACAATGCGATAATAGGAAACACTATTTTTTTTAAAATACTAGCAACGATATTAACATTACAAATACTACCTTTAACCACTACTGGTAAGCTGAAAATGTTTGTGTTAGGAGTGGTTCACGACAATATTCGAATGGCGAATTTGAACTTACAACCTTTTGAGTTCGCGGTCCGCACCCTGCCATTAGGCTACTGCCGCTTACTACAACACTGTATTCTATATCATTCTCTCGCAAGCTAAATCTTAAGATGCCTTGACTATACGTTCACCAAATGGAGTTGAAGTCTTCCAAAATCGTTTCGAGAATGTGAAAAACGTATGTTATTTAAATGGACGTCATCCAGTTTTTGGATTTCCAAATGAATTGAAATCCAAGTCAAATAGACGTCTTTCGCGGCCAACTGTCAATGTCAAAAACGTTACGGTAACGCTACGCCATTTGGAAGCCGTCCGAATTGTCTGTGAATGGGCAAAACCATGTCTATTTTTTGTGATTTTTGTCTCAGTTTGTGCTCTGGTATTGACAGCGGTACATGTGCTGGATCATAGGAGCTCTGTGGCTGAGACTATGAAACGTTTAAACAAAATTCTCCGGACTTAATTATATGTTATTATGTCTACGTCTACACGTGACTTTGTATTAGAAGTAAATGAAGAATATAAATCGCATCCACGTATATTGCAAGTGAAACAAGAAAGTATTATCACAACAGGGAAAAGAGAAATGCAATGCATGCTTTGTTGGCGTTGTTTGTTTTAAACTTTTCAACCACCTTTTCATCCATTTTCTCTTACGTTTTTTCTGTCTTTTTATCGAAGTACACACGGCTGTTGCCATCATTAAAAAATACATTGTATTATTTATTCTGTACGTATAATTGAAAAGCGTGCAACGTTCGAAATGACGACGCGTACGTCCAAATGGAAGTATAGTCAATGTGCCTTTGATCTGGAGTACTTCCATTAGGAAGTATTCCATTTAGAAGCATTCCAAACAGACGTATCGTGAATGGGCACCTTTATAGAAGTATATGTTTGTCTCTTTTTAGTGCCGCTTTTTCGTTTTATAGAGTTTCAAATCAAAATGATTCTTAAGAAATGTTCACTTCAAAAATAGATACTAGGCCCTTTGCTTGCCAATACATTGTCATAGTTCGACTCAGGAATAACATTCGGCTTCTTCCGAGTATTTTCTTTTGACTTCAATCGACGAACATCTTCCCTGAATTAATAATTTTGGCCCTGGAAACAGTAAAATTAGGACTTTATCATATGAGAAGTCGCATAGTTAAATGGTATTGCGCGATGATGGAAAAGATATGAGTCGCTCCTTTTTACGTATATTATTGCCACACCAGCTAAATGTATAGAATAGAATCTAATATATTAACTTTTATTAAAAGTAGATTACAAGAATGTATATTAAAAGACATTGCTTTTATCACTGGTTCAAAAAAAAACCTCTGTACCCTGTAAAGAACCAGCAAAAACCCAGCGGGCCTTTTTTTAAACTTTAATTCAAATTTAATATGGTTTGCAAATAAATATGAAAACTTTTAAAACCAGCATGGTAGTGATCACCTCATTTCCTAGCTTTATTTGCCAATCACGTACTCTTGAATCTTATAATAATCCTTATTAAAAAATTGCTTAATAAAAATGTGTAATCTGCGATAGTAAGTAGCCATTCTAAG